GCATGTTGTGCAGTTCATCAGTATTTTTGTATGTGCTTTAAAGGTTTGTATCTTCGATGGATCTGCACTGTGTGGTCATTTTGTGGGCTCTGTTATACCGAGTGCATGTAAAGAGGTTCATCATTTATCCTGTCGTCAGAGACGTATGGCTGTGTCTGAACTTCCACAGGTGAGCTTGTGTGACAGATATCGGTGCTTCTAATGAAACTGTTGGTGAGAAGACGGAGCGGAGCAAACGCTGAGGAAGCAGCGACTCGCCGTTGGAGGAACATTTCATTTGGACTAAAAGGCTGAAGCGATGAAGAAAGGTTGGTGTCGTGAAAACTGTCAGAGAACAGCAGATGTTGAACATTTATCAGCATCATTACGTCCTTTCTATCTTTCTACAACCACCCAAAGGCAAACGCCGTCTCTGCTTCCAGCACAGTTCACGATACAGTCTCTTTCACTACACGGACCAAACTTTATTCCAGCTGATTTTAATCATGTCTCACTTAAAAAGACACTTCAGACTTGTATCAGCATGCTTCCTGCCCAAGCAGGAAAGATAAGATATTAGATGTTATGGATCAGTAAAGGATGCCTATAAATCACTCGTGGCCCTGCGCATCATAAACGTGTGCACTTCAGGCCCACAGATGAAGGACAAAGACCTGGACAGGAGCGCAGTGACTGAATGTGTCTTTCTGTGATCATTCTTTAGTAGCACGTTTAAATTTAGCCAGGAACACTTTATCATTCAGGCCATGATTAAACATGTAATTTCTCAGTAATTAAATAGAATTTCAATGTATTTTTGTTTAAAATTACAGTGTAATTATATTTACCTACAAATACTTAAAGATAGGTGCACTAAATATGTGTTTTTAAAGGAAACAAATGATACTGTAAGTAAATGTAAGTAATTGATGCAATGCATGCCACCCCCACCCCTCATTATTAAACACACAGTGCGTTTGCAGCACTGCTCGTATTATGGGCTGGACTATCCGTGCCTTTTTACATTTTTAGCTGATGTAAATAAAAATGCACAGAAGTCAAACACCACCTGAAATTACTTCTGCAATACTTACAGCTACTTGTAAGCTAGTTACATAAACTTACAGAATAAATTATTCTGTAAGTTTATGTAACTAGTTTATGTAAACTAGTTACATAAACTAGTTACATAGTATAGTATGATATGATATAAATTATTCTGTAAATTTATGTAAACTAGTTACATAAACTTACAGAATAATTTATTCTTTGTTTCCTGACTTGTTACCATTTTTCTACTAACTCTAAGTATTTGTTGGTAAAAATAATTACGTTGTAATTTCCATTTAATTACAGTGTAATTACGCCCTTCGCTGTGGGCCGTGTCACAGTGTTTCCATTCAGCAAACAAAGTTCATCTTTAGTGTGTTTAGTTGTCTAGAAGCAGATCACCC